CTGCCAAAATACATTCCCATATCAGGGCAGACGATGGCCAACGATTGCTTTGTCCAGTGCGATTTGGCTAAAACGTCGCCAGCTCCAGAAAAGACTACCATCCGTCTACTTCACTGTGTCAAGAACCGTTTGATTGAAGAGCCAGGCACAGGAGTGAAATGAGTTTCAGAAATCAGTGTTACTAAATTTGCTTTATTTTTATAGTTATATTTGAATAAATTCCTTCATCGTTGAAAATGGAAATTTGGCTTTGGCTTGCTATGAAGCCGCTTGGGTTCCAGCTCGTAAGAGAATAATTGTAGATGAAGAGTTAATAAAAGACGAGGGCCTTACTTGTAAGCCATACACTGATTGCAGAAAGGACGCAAATGTACAGAGTTCGAAACGTACAGCCAAATCATCGTATGACCATTACGCGTTGAGTACGATATATGGTACAAACTACTGATACCGTTCCGCACACCGGGTTAAGGCATGGCATACTTTTTTGGACGGCTCTGAGCCAACGAAACGGCATTAGGGATACGGCACAATACGACGCGGTAAGATGCAGTCCAAGGATCCCGCAGTAACCAAAGCAGAATGGGAAAATGAGTCTGCCATTGTTCAAAACTGTGTCATCAAAATGTTCGTAATTTATTTGCAGCGCATCAACGAAATTTGGGCCGAAATGAACCTTAAAGTTAGAAAGATGAAAGAAATCCTGTTCATCCAGGTCAGCAGATGTTTGTGCCAGACAATGACATAGACCTGAGCAGTATCTGGATGCGAGCTATTAATAAAGGGCTGTCAACATTAATTCCTGCTGGACCCCTGTCAACCGAAATTTGATTTTAATGATTTGATTTTTATCATTTCACCTTGCAACATTCCTGTATGCATCGAAACATCGGTGATTTATCTAATGAGTTCTCTATGGAAATGGAAATGAGAAGTGGAAGGCTTGTAAGCGCTAAACTTTCGGTCTTCCTGACGCTGTCATCATGGGGTCATTTCTGACGCCTTCTTCATGAAGTTAACGGTGGGACGCTGATCTTCATTTGTATGCCATCAACCAAGAATGACTTCAACACAGATTCGACAGCAACTATAAATGGCAACATGACGTGTAGTTGCCTGCTTCCTTTCCTTACCACAGAGTGGTACGTATTTTTCATCCTCAGAAGGAGGAAAGTCGATCCGATGGGTTCGAACCCAGAAAATCTTGGTTCCGAGTCAGACGCTCTACTGACTGTGCAACGCCGTTCGATGTACACAACCCAAGGAAGCAGAGATCAAAGGTTTACTCATACAAATTCAGACAGAACGAAGGCGATAAAACTGAATGAATTACACAGGGTTCAAATGCACAGGCTGCTTTCGCTGGAAATACTGGCGATCATTAGTTGCCCCTGCAGTGACGTACGCAACTACCGTATGGGGGCTCTTTCGGCTGACGATTTTAGTGCCGTACGTAGCGAATAGAGGCTGTCTGCCAAGGCAGCTGGCCTGCCATGTCGACAGATCACCTCGGTGAGGTCGACGGCATTTGCTCTGCCATTGAAACATTTATCAGCAACGGCCTAGCGGACCTGTCTCGCCACCTGTACAATATGGAGCCAGCTGCAAATGGCAGGTGAAGGTCACACGTACCGATCTTAATCCAATGGACGGCTGTATTAAGACCTTCAAAACCTCAGTATTCTCTGATCCGGATACTGAAGGATACTCATGAATTCGGCGTCAAGTTGACTCACAAAACTGACGGTGTAGCGAATGCATGTGATGGGTTGAGTTTGAGTAGCAACTGGAATGTACTCGGCCAGCTTGTCCAAAAATGTAATGAAACAAGAGATGCTGTACTCAAATGTTATATAACGGTTTTCAACGAACGCAGGCTTTCTTTCCCGTTCTCCGACAACCAGAGGAAAGGAAGAAATCTCTCCTTCTTTCTTCACTGTCTCTTCAATAAAACGGTCTACAACCAATAACTGGTGCTGGCTTGTGTCACGGTCTTCTAAGATTTCCTTGCAACCCATGGAATCCCTCAACTTTCCCATTCGGAGTAAAAAATTAGGAGTTTCCTTTTGTTCACTTTTTTAGGCATGCAAGCGATTTTTCCTTTTCTGGAAGAATGCGTCTGTCAGAGCTGTATAATATCATGTTGCTCTCTGCGGCCTCCTTATTTATTTGACATATCGCACTCATATTCTCCATGGATTCTGTAATTACCGATTCGACGTTTCCGGACATGCCCGTTAAGGTCCCCACTGAGTACTAGTTTTTGTTTGCAGTATGTCGTACAGTGTAAGATGTACACTCTTCCAAAATTTTGACTTTTCAGCATCAATCTTGGCTTACCTAATGCGCTTAGGCATTTTTGGTATCTAGCACTATTTTGCGGTGCCACCTTAACGCCCATGAGTTTGGTGTTATTTCGGCTGACATGAAATGCATGGTATTTTATCACTTCATTCACTGTAAACCTGACGTCATTTACTGCCGTTCAATTTAGTCTTCTGGATGCAAGAAATCCGAATTCAATTCTTTGGAGCTTTAGCTGACTCCATACCCATTCCAAGCATCGTTCCAACGCTCCTCGTGGTTATTCGCCTTTTTTCTGATCGATTTTGGCACGGCAATCTCTCCGTCTCCGTCCGGGATGGCCATCGCAGCATAGACTGTTTCTTTGACTAATTTCTCGAAGGCACCCGGATTTGAGGCTGCACGTCGCTTGTTGGCTAGGGGACTGCCCAAGATTCTTTTCTGAGATGACATGATTGCAAAATTCGACTTTCTCTTTGATGCGGAAGTCTGTAATTACATGGTCGGTCTGCATGTTTCTTATGGGATTATTCCGCGCCTTGATTTTACGCGGCCGACGTTTCGAGTCATACTTGACTCGTTGTCGAGGAACTCAGTCAAGAAGCGTCGGTCACTTTTGTAATAAAATCTACATGCTGATCAATACTGCGAGGAACATGAGGTGTGTGCGAACCGACTCGTCATATTTGGCTGTGGTATTGCCCTTCGGGACCGACGTCGACTTGTCTTTCATAATCGAGATCGAGCTTCGAATCCGCTGCATTTCGTTGGGCTTGGCAGCATGTCTATTGGGTGACGACACGTGCTCGAGTATGATTCGAAACGTCGCAGATTCCGCGTATAATAAGCTCATCATACAGCGTTATCGCGCAAGAGATTTCCGCCACCCTGAACAAGACTTGTCAGCCGAAAGTGGGAACGTGGAAGTATGACCGAAGCGACGCGACGCGACGTGATGCGACGCGACACATCTGGATCCTTCGCTGGAGTCTCGCACTTAGAATGCAACAGGCAGCGTCGATGGACATCGATTGACCGCACAGCTAACGGGCGTGTTTTTTGCCCAGATGTTGTTCGACAGATTTCACGGTTCGGTGCATTCGACGAATAGTCGCCGCAGATTGATCTAGGTTAACGAAAAGCGGCCAAGCAAGCCAACCACGACGCTTTCTCGAAAAGCAACACCGAAATCCTGATCTTCAGGCGATACGGTCAGCGAGAAAGTTCCCGATCAGTCCGCAATGCCCGATCTACGGATACAGATCTGCAAACGCGATTACTAAAGCAAATGTCCCCCTCTGTTCACGGAAAAGACGGACAGGAGCATGCAGTAACTCGATTCGGTTTGCTGCCGAGGCAAACTCTAGTACCGTCGACCGCTTCCGTCGGCTGAGGAACAATTATCTGATATGTGAGGGTCAGCTACGAAATAAGCACTCACAGACATAGAGTGACAATTGACTGAAAACTACTGCAGAGCCTGACGATAAGCTAATGACGTGGAAACTGCCTACCGTCATTGTATAAGCATTCCGACTAGTCTCGGAATACAGTGAAATAGTGGGTCCAAAGTTGGACCGGGAAGTTGCCTCATGAATTCCGCAGTGCTATGTTGCGGACACGGAACTTGGCCATGCAATTAACCCATCGAACGAAAAATTGATCTTAATCCTTTATTTCCTTAAGAATTAAATTTGTCACTACCAATCGAAGAAAAAGTCTCTGGCTTGAGTAAGCCGTAGCAAGTCTTTGACATGAGGATAACAGGGACAGCATAATTTACTGATCTGGGCGAGGGCTATGGCCATGTTGTCTGATGTGAGCGCTTCTTAGCACTGCAATTCGTCATAAACCATTTGATGGCTGACTATCCAGTGTGATATGCAGTACAATGTGTTGTGATACGATGCGAATTTCTCGTAACAATTGGGTTGACCAGTTTAGGCAAAAGGGATGGAACACTTCCAGTATAAGAGACGATGGGTAGCTTGGGTATTTCAAGTTTATGGATCTTAGTTATCGAGTGCTGAAGTTGCTTTGGGAAGCTCTACCCGATTGCCATTCATTTAACTTTTCCTGCTTACAGTTCTTTATTTTTTCCTCAAAACCGTACCATATCCTACTGTAACAATATACTTTCACAGGAGTGAGAAGTAAAATTTTAATAATGGAAATGCGTGGCATTGACGGCTTAATGTAGACGGAATGGGAAGTTTCGGTGCGCCCGTTTTGGAGCAGATCGATAGTCATCGTCTATGAGTACTCCTGTGGCCGCGAGTTTATGTTATATTTGTTAATGGTCACCTGCATCAGCCGCTTCTTCCAACTTCTCATCCTACATATCTATGATAAGCTTTCAGTGAGCATGATGTGAAGCACTTATCAAACAGGTTTGTTTATTTTATGATTCAATTATTCTGACTGCTCTAGCTCATCAAGTCATCACGCAATGGTCATGGGATCGCGAGTTTCGCTCGATATATTGGCAGATGTGTCGCCTCTGACACTGTAGATTTGGAAATCAGGCGAACCGCATCCCTCCGCCTCCAGCCATCAGCGTTAATTAATTCCTCGCTGACAAGAGTGAATCGTCATACTTCGAG